CCCCTCTGCGGCGCTCCAGCCCTCTGCCCTGCCAGGTCCCAGGAACTGCGAGCGGGAGGACAGAGCAAGATGGGGGCTGTCGGCCACGAGTTGAAAGTGCTGGAGCCCTTCGTCAGGGCGTTCATGAAGTGCCCAACGGCCCCAGTATCCCCCCCCAGGGATGCTGCTGGCAGCCGCCGAGCACATCCTGTCGAGCTCATGGGGCAGCCGATTTTCACCTACCTGATTGTCCACCTCTCTGGCCGGTATCTCCCCAGGTTGGCTCTGAGGGCCCAGCAGGAGACTATGGGGGAGCCCTTTTTCCCCTAAATATCACGGCCCTCTCAAGGTGACCGAGAGCAGCCTTGCGACAACATGGACCAGCTCTGGGCACCCCCTGGTCCAGCCCACTGCGTTCCATGGGCTCACACGAGCCAAGTTCCCTCCAGTAACTCAGTCCTCATCCACTGCTGCCCGTTCTCTCCTCCTTGAACCCTGGCTCAAGTGCAGAGGCCTGGAAGACTTTGCCAGCAAATAAAGGCAAAAAAAAAAAGGCACCAAAAACCTCAGTCTTGTCTGTCTCGCTATCACTACCCCTACAGGCTCGGGCAGTGTTTGAAAGGCTCCTTCGGTGCCTGACCCTGCTTCCCTCTCCTGTATGAATTCCCTGCGTAGACAAGCAGGTCTCATAGAGCTGCTTGTTCCCCGGGTGCCACGAGGGACCGTTCTTGCCCTGGGAGGACTTGCTGTCCTTGAAGACTCGCCAGCTCCCTGGAGCCCCTTTGAGCCGCCGGCGCTGCATCCCATGGGTGCTCCTTGCCAGGGCGCTGGTGAAGGCCGAGGGGCTCCTCCTGCACCCTGCCTCATGGTGGCTGCTGAGCACCCGGCTGTCCCTAAGCACCGCATCCCTCAGCAGCTCCTCCTTGTCAGTAAACTGCAGAGCCAGCAGCACCGTTTGGCTCTGAGGGTTAGAGCAGCCCTGAGAGCCACTCTGAGGTTCAATAGCCCTCGAGCACAGTGTGATCCAGAGGCTTCATTCGTGTCCCCACCACAGGCAGGGGCCCTTTCGCCAGCCAGGGCTGGCACAGAGCCCTAAGTGATGCCACTGCTGTGCTGTCCCGTGTCACCTGGAGCCCTGTCTACCCCAGCCCGGCCAGCAACATGGCTGTCCCTGTGCAAAACCACCACCCCACCGTCAGCCCTCCACACCAGGCAGGGCCCACGTCAGTGCCAGACCCTTCCCCTTGGGCATGCTGCTCCATGGAGCTGCCTGGAGCAGCAGCACAGACCTAAACCAGAAAAAAAAAAAAAAAACACAAGACCCATTGAATGACCCCCAGTGAGAGGTCTCGTGTCCCCAACTGCCTGCAAGGTTGCTGCGGAAGCCCATGACAAGAATCTCATCGACGCTGAGGTGACCCACATGTGCTGCTGACTCTGCTGCCCAGCCAGATGTCACCCCAGACCTATGTGGGCACCTACCTAGTGCCTCTGAGCAGCTTGCTGCGGCCTCGGGCACTGTGAAGAGGAGCAGAGAGCAGCCGTGAGCCCTCAGTGAACGATCAGGGCCCGGGCTGCAGCCCCCAGCTCCACGTGGTGGGAGCTCTTGTGGCCCCGGCACGAGCCAGCAGGATGGTGGCCCCAGCAGGCCGGGCTCACCTGAGCAGCAGGGCATGGGCCGCGCAGCCCAGGGCGGCCAGAAGCAGGGCGCCCGAGGCAGTCAGAGCCACCACGAACCAGGCTGGCGGGCTCCACGTTGCCTCCGTCCGCGTGATGATCACTGGCTCCTTCCGCGGTGTCTGCAAACGTGCACGGGGGCAGAGGGCCACCGTCCTTGGGGCCCGTGTAGGAAGGACGGCATGCCCGGACACGTGGGCAGAGCCAAGACCTCCGCTCTGTTTCACGGAGGAGGGTTCCACTTACCGAGCGCCAGGCGGTGCTCCAGGGTGGCACCGTGGTGGGCTGGGGGGTGACGTGCACCACCAGCATCACTGTGGTGCTGCGGCGCGGGACACCGGGGCCACCCCACACCTCCACCAGCAGCACAAAGGTGCGGGGCTGGTCCAGGCCATTGGGGACATGGAGCAGGGTGTTCCCCTCCACGCGGAAGTGCCTGTCCTCGTTGCCTGGACAAGAAGCTCCGCTAAAGGCCCAGGCCACAGCGCAAGGCCGGGCACCCTCGCTGCTGCAGCTCCTCACCCCTGATGATGGCGTAGGACAGCGGGGCACCCTCGCTGCTGCCCTGGCACGCAAGGCGTGTGACAGGCTGTGCCTGCCTTGGATGTGACCCGCAGCTCCTGCACCTCCGGCGTGCACACAGGCGCCTCGCCGAGCACGGCCTGCCGGGATCCCCAACCCTATAGGAGCCGCTAGAGAATCCACAACTATTTCATTGGATGATTGGCCATAAGGAGGGGTCCAAGCATGCAGGTGACGGGCCCAGGCACCAGAGAGGGTGAATCTGCTGTCTGGGCACCCCATTTCCCCTGAGCCTACACGAGCCAATACACAAGCTGGCTCCCAGCCCCTCATCCGGCTGCACCAGAAACTGGGCGCCAAAGCCAACTCGGGACCAGTTCCTCCCTGGAAGAGGTCGCTAGCGGAGCCACCGTGGCGGTGCCCCTGCCCACACCTGCACGTGCACGGCCACGTTGCACAGGCAGCTGCGCCGCTTCGCTGGGTCCGCGTCGTTGTGGGTGTCCGTGAGCCTCACCACGAGCCTGTAGCTCTTCTGCCGCTCGTAGTCCAGGGTTCCCACCACGTAGATCTTGCCTGCCAGGGTGGTGCCAAGCTGCTGGGCACCCATGGGCGCGCTCGAGCCCAGCTGGGCTTCAGGAGGGGGCCCACGCTCACCCATGCGTGTGTCGACGGAGAAGGGCTGGGCAGAGCCCACGCGCTCCTCGAGGCTGTACTCGATGCTGTGCAGCGGGTAGTCACGGTCAGTGCCAGTGATGCTCCCCACGACCGTGCCAAAGGCTGCAGTCTCCGGCACAGTGAAGGCCGTGCTGTTGGGGCACTGCGGTGCGTATTCATTCACAGGTGTCACCGTCACAAGCACGGGCACGCGGGCTGTGTGGCACACAAGGTGGCTCAGCACTGCCCGCCCTGTCCCATGTCCTGTGCCAGCACTGCCTAGGCCCTCAAGAGCGGCAACAGGAGAGGAACTTTGTCCTGCTGGCCAGGGTGTTGGGGGGCCAAGAAGGAGCTTTCTCCCTCTCAAGCTACAGTGGGGCCAGCCCTGTCAGTCTGTACACGACAGGGGGACATGGGCACAGTGGGGCACGGGGTGACGGACACGTCACTCACTGCTCCGCGGGGGCTGGCCTCCCGCTGTCACCACAATGGTGACAGCGAACTGGAAACCCACAGCAGCTGCAAGCTCGGAGTCGTAGTCCAGGGTGGTGTTGACCTGCGGAGGCCAGACAGAAGTGGTCAGGCAGAACCGGGGTGTCCTGTGGGGACAAGGTGTCCTGCAGGGATGGCGTGTCCTGCAGGGATGGGGTGTTCCTACAGGGACAGGGTTTCCTTCAGGGACAGGATGTCCCCCCGAGGACAGCAAGGAGATTGCGTAGGCAGGATGCCCCCAGAGCCACGGGGCTTGCAAGCACAGGGTGTCCTGTGGAGCTGCTGCTGTGCCAGGGAAGCAGGGAGGAGAACCTGGTGGGACTGAGCAGGAAGAGGGCCCCAGGGAGCCCAGGCCCTGTACGGCTGCCATACAGCAGGCAGACGGACACCACCGTGCCGCTCATGCCCACCCCCTGCCCACCCGCAGGGCTCACCAGAACGGCGCCCCGGCCCCGCGCTGTCCCAGCCCCGCTGACCTGCAGCTGCGGCCCCTCCATGCGGAATAGGGAGTGCGAGGCGGCGGCACCCTCAACCGCGTAGTGCAGCGCGCCATCAGGCCCGGTGGGCCCTGCGCACCGCAGCGGCAGCAGGG